TATTCTTGTTACTGGTAAATTGGGGATGGAAGAGTTGACTAGATTAGGTAGAACCCTTGCAGTAGAAAAAATAGCTACATTGTAACATGAGAAAGATCAGTGTTCTTCTGTCTCTATAAACTTTTGCTGAGTAAAGATTAGTGTTCTGTCCATAAACCTTTGCCAAAGATGTTGACATCTTGAGAGTGCACTCCTTCTGCTTGAAAGATCTTTAAAAAAGCTAAGAATGGTACTGGTGTTTCTAAAAGCATTGATTCAATAATTTTGCCTTCATGCAAGGGTTGAAGGTGAGGGAAGAAGTCTACCCCTTTTTCTCAAATTTGATAATAATGCTAACAGAAGGAGTCCCAATCATTTTGGGGTGCAAATGAAGAGATTCTGCAGGATTCCTTGGAACCATTTTTTTCTTTGAAATTTCAGATAATCCATAGTCTTTGCACATCAAGTGACCTTTCTCTTTTCTGGGTCGAGTCTCATAGGGGTCAGGTTTGGGGTGTGGGGGGCAAGTAATTTCAGAGTTCAGGAAGAAAGGACATTTCTGGTGGTCCATTTGCCAGGTGGATTGCAGATGTTTTCCGGCTTTTTTCTCAAAAGCTGAACTTGAATTCTCATAATGGCTTGTGTAGTTTCTTTCCTTCATTCATGTGTACATGTAGTGGTTGGACTTTACTTTATACAGAACAGTTGCGGAATAAAACAAGAAGTCATCATTCCAATGAAGTAGTTTTTGTTGGGGGAAGGTTTGGAGCAACGTGTTTCTTGCATGTATGCCCTCACATGTATACCCATACATGTACCCGGTACATTCACGTATGCACATATACATACATCTTTACTTTGTATCATTAAGACCACAATGACATTTGGCCCACCTACATTGCTGTTTTCGTTGTGGATAGCAGGCGCATGAATGCCAACAATGGACGGATACACTCCCCCCATTCAGACCACATAATGGCCCCCATCATATTGGACAGCATCATAATTACCACCCCCAATTAAGCCATGCGAAGAAGTTGAGGGCTCCTCTCTGGCCTACCATTGTGTCTAGGCAAACACCACAGTTCACCGTCTATTCATCTGGGCAGGGGCCAGAGGATCAATACCCATGACATGCAGGGAGAGAAACCCCCATTCAAGTTAGCCAGAAAACCCTGGCTTGGTTCATGTTAAGACTGGACGGATGTGTCAGTATGTGTGTCTGTTGGATACGAAATGCATCTTATTGCTCCCTGGTGGCTCCTCCCCTTGGCAAGGAGGGAATGGAATTCAGATTACTTAACTGGGTTTTGAGGAAAGGATGACTATGCTTTTATTCCCCATAACCCAGGGATTGAGTGCAGCTGGAACACACAGTTTGGATCTGAATTTGCAATTGGTTCCAGAAAATGTAGAACTGACCCAAGTTTTAAAAAAATTGTTCTCATAGTCTGCATAAATTTTACATTAAAAGTCCCCAACTTACTTGGAGCAGGCTTCACAAAGTGAAGATGTTCAAGATTCTCTGCTTTAAATAAATGCGTTAGTCCCATAGAATCGATGACAAATTTCAGTCAAATTTATTGTTTCTTGGATGTGTACATGCACCAATATATTGTATATGTCCATGCAATTTAACTGACCAACAGGAGAAATGGAAAGGAGGAAATCTCTGTTAATTAAACATTAGACATTCTTTGATCATTCACTCAAGATTTGCCCAACAAACAGTTTGTGAGTATTACATGTCAAAGTTTCAGAACGGGAGACCCTATATTGTATCTCCTAATACAGTCCAGGAATAATGACAGTTTGATACCAACAGTGTGTATTGATGTTGTATTCTGACTTTGATATCTGGCTGATCAAAAATGGATGAGGTTGGAGTACTTAAGTGTCATAATTCACTGTGTGTAGGGTATGTTTTGACCCTCCTCTGGTCTTCATCTCATTCTCAGTTCCTGAGTGGTTTATCTCCATCCTCCAGTGGCAGCTAACAAGCACCAGTTTAGGGCACTGGTATGGGTGGGCCAGCTCCTCTCTCTCTCTCCTAACATCCCTGTGGAGGTCTTGGCATTGTTGTCGTGCTTTTCCTCCCCTGGCCGTGCCCTTGACCTCCCCAGCAACTGTCCCCGCACAGACCCTGGGGATCTTGCAGCTTTTCAGTTAGCCCAGACTGACAGCTTCTCCCCAGGGCTCCAACAGTTCTGGAATCCTGGCCTGTGAAAAGAAGCAGCATAATTTGAGATGGAATCCAACCTTCTTTGTAGACAAATTCCAGTCTTTGAACAAGGAACTTCAGGAATTGTCAGCAGTGAGTGGAGTGCATCAATCGATTTTTCTGATACCACTTTGTTAGAAGACACAGTGTAACATGGTTAGTTAGGCCTATATCAGGGGGAGGTGACACAAAACACAGTAAAGGGGGGGGGCTATTAAGTTACTGTCATGTTCATTATGTTTCCGTGGCAGTTCTACATTTTTACCAAATCTTGAGCCACCCCACAACCTATTTTCATGAGTTTCACAGCTCAGAGGCTCAAACTGGATTGAGATCATTAGAGCGATTCCTATTTTTAGATTTAAAAAAAATGAAAGCTCACTTCAATTTCTAACCAGACTGGTAAATTTTTGTTCCATCCATTTGTGTCTGTAACATGGAATACCAACTTGGTATTAAAGCATGAAGTACATGTACTAGATTGTTTCACACAAACTACAGCCTGCATGCTGATTCACATGTGTAAAATGGTTTTGACATTGAAAACACTTTGTAGAAATTTTGAACCATCTGGGAAACACTTCGTGAACGGCTCCTTTTTTCCGTGTTTTGTGTCATATAGTAAGTAACAAGTAGAGTATTTTGGGTTGAAGTGTTACATGATCATGCAGTATTGTAGCTTGCATTCATGAATGTGCTGAAGGGGAATAGTTACATTCTCAGAAAAGCAATATAATGAAACCTGATGCCCATGAAAGTTGAGACCCTAGACCACCAAGAAGTGATGTTGGCCTGGACCAGGCAGTGTACTAGAAGTTGATATATTGTCAAGATGTGTTGTGCAGATAAGGGTTTGAAATAATCTTGGGTTTGTTCAGTTGTTTGGGCCTCAAAGCTTGTGGTGTCACTTGAGCCTAAACCAGCCTCAAAGAGGCCTGCCTTTCAGAGCCTGAAGAAAACTATATAAAAAAATCTTTTAATAATTGGAAGGAGATGGATGCTTCAGAGCTTCAGATCAGAGTTCTAAACAGGAATAGAAACATGGGAACAGTACCTGTTCTGTATTGTAAAATATTTTCAGAGCAAATAAGTCAAAAATCTTTTTATTCACTAGCACCATTTGTTCCCCTCTGACTGTTTTTTTTGTACATCAAATGTCCGGATGTTGCACTTCTTACAATGTCTCTGTCACTTCTCTTGGATTTATTTGTATCAATGTAAAAAATGTGATTCAGTATTTATGCAGGAAAGCCATTTTTGCCTCTGTTTGACCTCCAACAAAGATAATTTTGGGCAAACACGCTGCTCCACTGTGGTTATTTTTAAGCAAGTACATGTGCATGTAGGTCAGTAGCAAGGTAGGGTCAGGCACGTGTACATGTACATGGTGATGATATCACGATACTGTTGCCGTCATCAGATGTCATCATGTGCCTTGTAACAGAACTTAACTGGAGGTTTGCATTATGTATTGAGATCACGTGAATAGTTTGGACTGGTTGGAGTTATGGATGCGCACATCTGCACATTTGTTCGCAGTTGCAGTATGGCCCGGTCTAATGGTATCAAACTATCGTATGATCACACCTTTCCCCCAATTGGCCACTGTTACCTTAATGATGTGTTTGTTTAGCAACCCTATGTCATACATGATGTTCTGTAAACTTGACAGTGAGGTTGATTTTTGCATTTTTTTAAAAGAACTTTGAAAACATGTCACAATGGCCCCAACTTATGCCATGCATAATATGATTGTCTTCATCCTGATTTCATACTGGATGGTGGTTCCACATTGTTCTTGAGCTTTTGCCAAATATATCAAGCTTTGAAGGCCTGCTGACTTGATGATGTAGTAGGTGGCACCATGATCTTTGCCTAGATAGTAGTGGATGTTTGGTCACATGGACCAGCACCAGAAGGAGAGCACCCCGATGGTGTGGAAGGCTAATTGAAATTTGCCCTGCTGCCGGGAATCATTCAGTTCCCATCCTGTACCACAGCTATACTGGGATCAGTTCAAAATGGTGTTTCAAGGTGTCTCATTGTGATTCTGACCTCAAGGGTCAATTTCACCACTCTCATCTGTAACTGAAGACCCATACATGTAATAGGACTTACCAATGGGTAGTTCTGCTTTCATCAATTGTGGCTCCTGGGTGGTCCTCAAAGGATTTCATTTAATGATTTTACAAAATGATTTAGATGTATTGTGGATGTATTGTGGATGTTTGACTGGAGAATGTGCTGTTAGTACCTAATTGTGTATTGAAAAACTACTGTTCTGTTCTGGGTACTTGCTTCATTTTCATCTCCTTCATTGCACCTACACGATCTAAATTTAATTTTGTGTGCCTAGTACCTCCAGGCTGTGCTTGTGTTTTACAAAAACTTTAAATTTGTTCACCAAAAATATGGTATAAATCAACTTTTGTTTGTGTTGATTAAACACATTTTAAAGGAAACTCATTACTACTTGGTAATGTCACTTTTTGTTTTAGACTGAAAATAGCATTCCTGCATTCCACCAGTTTTGAAATTGTTAAGAGAAGCCTTTGTGGTTGTAATACATTCTTTATTGTACTTTTTAAGTTGGGTAGCCGTTCAAACAAGCAACATTGTACACTTTGCTTAGACTTTAACATTAGTTGGCTATTGGACCCATGTAGAGAAATATGAAAAGAGTTTTCTGGAACTAAGCTGAGCTTGAAACATTAGAAGTTGACATTTGGTTCTGATTGTAACACATCCTGAATTCGCGATGGCTTTTAAAAACCCCTTTGTCTGCTCTGTCATTTTACAGTTGGTGGAAGATTAGAGCAAGAGCTGGATTATACAACCAAAACATTGGGCGAAGGTTGGGGCACCACCAATCAGATCATCATCCAAACGCCCAAGGAGAATGGAGGCAATGTACTGACGCAAGAAGCCCTGCTGCAACATGTGCGATCCTCGTTATTAGCAACTCAAGTGCAAGTCGAGATGTATGGCCAGTAAGTATGCCGAGCTGCTTTTTTTTTTCTCCCTGGACAAAAAGTATGTAATGAGCCAGGTTGGGATTTCAACAGTGCTTGCTTAAAAAAAGGTCGTTTAACTGAAAAGAACAGACGTACGTGCAAGTTTAGCGCCAACTCACCCACACTGTGTATAAATTTAAACTGGCATGACATCAGGTTCTTTGCTCCTTGAATGATCTTGCCTTCTCGTAACACCAAACTGATTCATTGCAAAAAGTACAAGAGATTCCTCATTCAGGAATTAAACTATACCGACATCAATTGCTGTGTGTTACCATTCAATACTTTGGTCTTATTAAGGATACAGTTTCTAGAAAATCAGGCTGGAAATTAGATAAATAAAAGCATCACTAGATATTTGCAGTTACTTTTTATATCATGTTCTTGTTAATTTACTCATAAAAAGGTTTGGCTCAGTTGAAATGTACTTTATGAACAGGATAAGGGAAAATTAGAGATTGAACCCAAGTGTTAACAAACATTGCATTACCACAGCAGATCAAAGGACCTAGTTAAAACATCTGATGTAATCCAACCCTACCTTTTTTTCAAGACAGTGTATTTTTGACAGACCATTTTTTGCTGTGTGCCGGTACACCAAGACTTCAAGGTTTGTGCACATGAACCTTATGTCTCCTAACCCATGACCAATTTGGTTTGACATTGGCTACGGGCCGCTATCATTCCCTGGGTTCTCTAGCATCACACGGCTGTGGTGCTCTTTCTTTGTGGGATCCGGTTTATTACAATATACCCTACCTGACCCAGTTAGTTGTGGTAAGGTAACACCACAGGAGCAAGTACACGGCACTTCACGTGCCCACATGTACACAAACCAGCAGGCCTCGCATAAGGCCCTTGCTGCTTGGCCTGCTCTGGTGCAGCGCTGTTGGTGGGCCCAGCCCTCTACTGTAATTCAATTACTTTGAAAATGTCTACCTTGGGAACCCAATGGAAGGTCGGCCGGGTCAAGGGAGGGGAGAGGAAAGGCCAAAGTTCAAAGGTCAGAGAGGTTTACAGTGCGGAAGGAGTGTTTGGGGCACTTCGAGAAATGATTCTCGAGTTTTTCTGTGTTGCTTTGGGTACTTACAGGTTCTTGGTCATCATTTACCAACATTTTGCAATTGGTTTCCGATAATAAATTTCAACTTTAAGTATTGGTACAAGAAGTAAAATTATACCCTAAATGTTGCAATTGATATGATGCTGTTTTAAATTGTACTTTGGAACTTAAATCTTAAATACCTACAATGTGTTGTTTGTTAGGTCATCAAATGTAGTGGTGATTTTGTTGCATCACAATACATGGTGAAGAAACTAGGTGTAAAGAGTAAAAATGTGTGTGTAATTCTTTGTGAGTCTGTTGAAACATTTCATTGTAAGGCTTTCCTTAGTGTTGCTTATTTGAATTGCACGTGTCACATGTTATTTGTTTATTGTCTGTTCTTTCCCCAGAACTTGGAGCTTCAAAGATGTTTGTCACATTACCGAATTTCCAGCATTTGAAGATAACATTGTAGATCAGGTAGGCTTCTAGTCTGCTTGGAGGCAGAATAGGATATTTGAAATGTCTAGTTCACTAGTTCTCTTCAGGACCACACAGAGAAGAGTGTTTTCTACTTGGTGTTAAAGCAATCATCTTACTGATTGATGGATCCCTTACCACAATGCCGTTCTTCTAGTTGTTCTGAAATAAATCCATTAATCAATTTAAGAGGAGGCTAGATTTTTGTGTTCAATTTTAAACGTTGCTAGAGTTGACAGAAACATTTGTGGAAGTTGAAAACAAAACCTTTGGAATTTTTGGGATTACGTTTTAAGATTTACATGTATGATGTAGTTAGTAATGAAGATGAAGGAAATCTTAGGAAATGTAGTGTTAACTTACATTGCACATTCTTTTTGTTTTTATTTCTTGCAGATCATTAGTCAATTAATACCTTGTACAATAATAACACCGTTAGATTGTTTTTGGGAGGGATCCCGCTTGCTTGGCCCAGAGAATCCTGTACATATTCCGTAAGTACAACTTCTGATGTTACTTTAATATATTATATGCATAACTCTGTATTTTTCCCCCAAGACCATTCAATAAATGACATAGACATGTGTGAATAAAACTAACTTCATTTTCAAAGTGTATTTTTTTTTATTGAAGACCGTTGAATGTATATAACAGAATTCACACCGTCTGATTTGATAATAGACCTGAGACATGTAAGACAGAACATACATGTACACATGTACATGTATGATACCAGGTTGTAGTGATATATACAGCTTGTAATGTTCTCTCATTCCCAGTATTGTACGTAATTCATTCAGTAGCCAGGTAGAAAGATTCATTTTTTCTCCAGCCTGTTTTGGTGCAACTTTGGTTTTCTTTAATCCAGCAGACGTATTAAGCAACTCTTTACCTTATTTGCATTAGCAGGCGAATCAAATCCGTGCATTTTTGTTGCATGCACTGTACTGCAGTCTGTTAGATTTATAGTTTTCAGTATGACCAGTCTGGTCTGCGATTTCTCAAAAGGCCCATTCATTCTTTGTTTAGATACTGAGCCAACAAATTAGACCTCCAGTACCAGATGGGCTAATGAAAGGAAATCTTTACTGCCTGTCTCAAGTAAAAAAAAAGTGGAACATACATGTACATGTAGTTGATAATACCAAAGAGTTACACCAGTATTAACACACAACAGTGTTCATGGATTATAGCAACAGCTGTTCCGCAGTCTTTGCTTGGACTGTGTTAGTCTGGTCTAACAGTGTCCAGCCCCACTGACCATCACCCATCCTGCTGGCACCACCCAATGAATTATAGTGGGTGTTATCTTTTGTCTGGGCCTGGAGTCCCAGTGTCTGTCATCTTTATTGCCATGACATGCACAGACCTCAACAGCGCAGGATCAGGAAGCCAGTTCTGCCAGTCCTCCAGAACACCCAGGGAAGTGATCCAGAGAGGATCTATTTTTGGTCTGGGTTTTCCTCTCCCTCAAATCTCACTAGGGAGCTTTATAAAAGAGGAAGTCCTTTTTCCCTGTACTTGGCCATGTCTCGGGTACACACCTGGGAAGATCCAAGACCTTGAAGTATGGGTAAGCTCCAACCATCGCACAACTCCTCAAAGACATTTCAGAAGAGTCTATGTTTTCACAGGTGAACAAGATCATAGTTCACATGTTCCCAGATTGTTGGCCTGTTATGGGCTTGTCCTACATGATTTTTTTGGTGAAGTGTTTATAACAGTCTGAACAGCTTTGGTGTTCCATCCATTCCTTACTTACTGCTGATCACGTTTGCTTCCTATTTCATCATTGGAAATGGAGCCACTTGCTCTCTGTGTTGATTTCCTGATTTAAGAAGCACGTTCTTCATTGCTTTCACTTTTCGGGATCATTCTCTGTTTAACAATCACGGGAAGAATGTTCAAATTTGGTAGAGTTTGATATTTGGTAATAACACACCCTACCTGTATTCATTTTTAAAACTTCATCGTCAGTGAAGCAGTTTTATGCAGAGTCCACATGACTGTAAAACACACCATCTCAGAGCAGCTGATACAGAAGTGTAGCTTTCATGTCTCAAAACCAATCTAAAAATCCACCTAGACACCCAGACTCCATTTCTTCCGGCCCTGTGTTTATATTCCACCATTTCAAGAAAAACATTATGGCAGCAACTATCATTATCCCCCCCAGCATCCGGTGTTCTCACACATCATAGCCTGTACACCAAATACTATCATAACCGCTGTCAAGTGAAAGCATGCGAAGAGCCACTGAACCAGGCTAGTCCCAGGGTCTGGCTATCAAGCTTGACAGGGGGGATTCTGCACTGTGAGCAGTAGCTTCACCAGGCCGACAGCTCCAGAAATATGACATAGGCCATTTAGAAGTGATATTAATGAGTGCTGCTTGGCCTTGTGACTTGGCAGATGTGTGTGAGGTAGTAAGTCATACCTGACAGTCCTATACTGAGAATATAGGTCCAGTCAAGGAAGAAGGCACCGAGGTAATAGTTTGCAAGTCCTGCGTTCACTCCTACTGTACCTCAATACCTGTGTATTTTTCTTGTACACAGAATTGTATATGTACTCACCATTGTTCTTGACTTGCACTAAAACCTGAAGTACTGTAGTTTTGTGTTCATTCATGACTAGTACTTGTATACATATGCATGCTCCTGAAATTGATGCTTTCATGCGCTTTCCACTGACAACAAAGTAGGCAAGGCCTCATGAAAGAAGCATTGCCTTAACCCATTGGAAAAACAGCTGATAACAGGCACTCTGAGCATACACAAAGATAAGGAGACAGAACCTCATAGAAATGTTGGCAAAATTTGAATGAATTAGATGTCATGTGTCTGCTAGTATATTTAGAGGTAGTGCTTCAGTCTGGCAACTTTTCAGAGACTAGTTCAGGCACACGTACAAAAAGTCTGGTCCTTGTTTGTCATTTCAGCAGTAAAGTACACGAATTATTACAGTGAAACCATTATAATCATCTTCTTGTTAACCCTCCTATGCAAAGACGCATTCCTGACAAAGTTGTCCTAACTGTCAAAATCAGCCGAATGACCCGTTTGTGTTTATGTAATGCAGCAAATGGAGTGGAAGGGATTTTTGACTGTGACAGCAGAAGGATTACATGTAATATATCAATGCACCTGACACCAACCTCTCTGACCATAACTTTTACTTCTTGCTAAAGTTGCTTGACTCTCCCTGTGGTGATCATGTTTAATCTGCAGGTAATTTGGGTGTTCTTTATGTTTTTGGAGTAAAGTTGTCAAGAGTTCATGGTCAAGGTTTATAAACTCTTGATCTCAAGAGACCCTCTTTAATCTTTGACCTTTGTTGAGTAGGGGTCAGACCAACTTACATTGCAGTGCCTCTGCATATGCCATTGAGGAGGGCTTTGCTAACTAGGTTAGGGCAGTGCACAGTGGAGACAGGCATTGCCTCCTCCAACTAGAATAGATTTTGCTCACATTTTATCCTGGTGTGCTGATGTAGACTGTAAATCCTCATAACTTTACCCATAATGGAGTCAAATATGAAGCTGTTGGTTTCAGGAATTTATGAGTACATTATCCCCAGATGGTGGAACGTCTCACTGGGAAGTTGATGTGCCGGTAACATCCTTTCTTTGTGGTGGCCGTGTATCTTATTTTTCAGAAGGGGTGCTTTTGAAATTCACATGGAATTCCACATCACTCAAATTTCTGGATGAGAAGTAAATGTAGACTTAAATCTGACATCTGTTCAAAATTTTGGGGAAAATGGCTGGTTTATTAAAGGAGCTGCCCTCCTGGACATAAGAATATTACATCTGAAATCTTGAATACTTGACCAGCTTGTATCAAGCCACTTACCATGTGGAGTGATTCTTGACCAAGCCTTACCACATCTACAAGAGGTGATAATAGAATGATACCTCAAGGAGCTTTTAACAGTCAAGGGTTGTAGGTTTTCTTGAAAAGAATCCACCCCTGACTCACCTCTTGAAGGCAGAAACCACAGTGTCTGCCAAGCTAGTGGATCCTGGATAAAGTTACAGCACACAGGGATCCCCTGTTCCAGTTTGGAAGCCCTTTTGGTCACACATCGGCTGCCGAAATGGAAACCCTCAGTTGTGGTTTGTCTGAAGTGGGTCTGGGATCTGCAGTTCCTCTTGTCTCGGGGTAAAGATTCACACTTCTTGACCGCACAATCCCCAAGGGCCGTGGTCCTGGTGTGGTTTAAATTATGAGTGTTGGATTTTTGATAAATTGATGCCTGAGAGTCACAGCTTTAAAATGTTGTATGTGATTTTCAGGAATGAAAGAGCAAGCTTGTAAATATATGCTCATAAATTTGTCCTGGAAAGCACGCTGATGTACATGTACCATGATCATGGTTTTGTCATGGGAGGTTTATTATTTCTGAATTAAGGTGTCAAATGGTTACACTCTCTCTTTGAGCTTTTCCTGCATGCTGCATCTCTAACTTTCAATTTTATTTTTCTTTGCACAGCTTTTATAATGATACATTGAGATGGAAGACACTGGACCCCATAGACTTGTTGGACCATTTTGCCGACTATGAAGCATTTATCGCACCCGAGTCATTAAGAGATATATTTAATAGGGTAAGTTGGCCAATAACGAAACTGTTGCTTTTAGCCATTGCATGTGATTTTTTAGTATTAGGTTGAGCTGTTATAACTTTTCCTCTGAGACTTTGAGTTGAATGGCCAAAAGTTAACGGGACAGTTGCAACTTAAGTACTTATTTCCCGTGTCTGATGGTCTTTGATGCTGCCACAATCACATTTCACTGTGAAACTTGCTTCCACTGTAACCTAAGCCTGGTAACTCTGTGTATGTTTGCCTGTAGACGGGGATTGGCCATGCCTACCAAACCAGGCCCTGTCTCAATCCCAAGGATCCAGAGTGCCCAAACACAGCGCCCAATAAGAAGAGTGGGCAGGTGAGTTACTATTCTATTGTGATTACTGGGAATTTGTAATCTTGAGGTGGAGAGTTATTGTCCCTTGAAACGTAGGGTCAAGTGCTGAATTGGAACAAGCCATGTTTGCAGAAAATTGAAGTTGTTGTTCTGGAGAACTAAAAATGACTGAAGAATTGGAGGAAAACAAAGGTTTGAGTAAGGATAAGCAGTTTTGGAGAACTTAGTGTAAGAAGTTGAGTAAAATGTATGTGGTTTTATAATTCAGTGCTTTGTGAAGGTTCTCACCTAGAATATTTTCCAACTCTCGACATTTGTTAAAATCTAGTCTTCAATATCACTTTAATAATGGGAGTTAAGTTTATTGTAAATGCAGTATAACAGGTATAAAATCAGAACATGTACATCAATACATTTTAGTGTCACTCATCAAACCAGTGTATAAAAATCTGAATTACCCGATTGCTTGCTTTCTTACTGCAAACCAGGTGCCTGACATTGCCGCTGAGCTGACTGGTGGTTGTACTGGCTTCGCAAGTGCCTTCATGGTCTGGCCGGAGGAGCTGATTGTGGGCGGGGTAACAAAGAATGCCAGCAACCAAATCAAGAGGTACATAATTATTCATGACCTTATTTGAATATTTGCATACTGGCTCCTATATTCACAACCCAGGTAGAATAGATTTCACAACCTTAATCCTAACTCCACAGCTCATAATGTTTTTGCAGTCTATCAGAGAGTCATTGTTCAAGTTTTGGAGATTTTGTTTTCTGATGGCTGGTTATTGTAAAAAAATAATGCTAGTGTTTGCATGTTTCTGAAAGGGAGAAATTTAACCAATAAAATATGCTACTGTTGACGTTAATGTTTTTGCACACAATTTAATCTATATTAATCGAGATAAAGTAACTTACAACTAAATAGTCACATTTCCATGCTGTATATTATCTCCTTCTGTTATGACTAATCCTTTATCTGTTTTCTTCATTTTCGGCATTCTAATATTGAATATTAATCAGATAAGGTAAGTGGTCATGTTAGTCACCTTGTGAGAAATGTGGAATTTGTAGTCGCCGCCTTGTGCAAAGATGCTTTCCAACTTTCTACTGCATGGCTTTTTAAAGTTCCAATTTGCTGCTCTGTCTGCAAGTTTTAGATGCGTTTTCCACCCCACATTTTGGTGCTCAAAAGATTGAATTGAGGAGTTTGTTTTTGCATGTTGTGATCCAATTCTTTTGTGAACTTGTGTTGTTTATTGAGCTTTGTGTTCTGGCAAAGAACTTTTAGAGATGTGTATTAAAACATTTCAATATGCAGCATTGACTCTCAACAATGTGTTATGAATTTGTACCTAGATTTATTTGTTTAGATGACACCCGTGAAATGAACATTTCCCTGTTCTTATGCTGTGGCTTCTTCAAGTAGTATAGGTTTTGATGGCTTTTTCATCTCTGGGTTCCTTCGGCATTCAGTTATTGCCACAACCGTCATCATGCTTTGTGTGATTTTTGTCAAGCAGTTCTGTGCAAAGATTTGTGCAGTTTATTCACATTAGATAACCTGTTGTCTTGTGTTGGCTCCCGTCTCTACCCTAGTGCTGAGGCACTCCAGAGCATCATACAACTCAAGGGCCAGAAGATGATGTACGAGGCCTGGAAAGGCAACTACAAGGTGGATGAGATTCGGTGGACGGCAGAGAAGGCTGGTGCCATCGTCGAAGAGTGGCAGCGCAAGTTCACACAGGTAGGAGGAGTGTCACGAAACAGGAGCAAGTAAAATTGATCAAAGATCCAAGCAACTTGAAAGGAGTCCAAGCACTTCTCTAAAGCAGGGGGGCGTTGGTGAAGATGGAATGGAAAAATTTGTTTCTTAGAAAAGAAAGAGAAGCAGAATATGTGTGAATGCAGGTATGCCATTTTTCAGGGGCTCAGCTGATTTCCTTGTTTTTCACAGTACATGCATGGTGCTGAAAATTGAAAAGCACTGCACAAAGTTTTGTAAAGATTGGAATTTTTTTTTTGTCAAAGTGCAAGTTACGTGCCGTGACGGGGAAGGAGAATTTGTGATTAGCTGAGCAAATAATTTTTAAGAATTTTAAAAAATTAGTTGAAAAGCAAACCTTTATTGCTATAAGATGTTGGAAAATTTGATGTCAGATAAGGTGCGTGTAAAAGACCAAAGTCTTCTCTACTACATCTGTCCCCGTTGTTGTGAAAAGGGAGTAGGGACGATTCTTTTGCTTTCCCAGAAAACACGTAGGAATGAATGACGGGATACTAAAACAGAATAACTTGTTGTGCACAAAGGGGTTTGATTTGAGTATGTTGTGTGCATCAGTACTGTAAACAGCTTGGAGACAACTGGGTGTTAGTGTTACCAAGAGCTTGGTCCGTTGGTCTTGCAGGAGGTTCGCAACAGCTCTGTCCTGAACTCCCAAGATGTGAATGCCTTCACCTCCGCCTCACTGGACGACTTGCTGCAGGAGTTCTCTGAGCTCAGCGTAGTCAGAGTGGCCATGGGATATGTCTTCATGGTAAGTGAGCTCGAAATTGTCGGCATGTGCAGTCATTCCTCAAACGTGTAGGCAGGTGTTGACAGAAGTGGATTTTGATGGATTGATTAGTTGGTAGTTTAAATTAATGGATGTAGTAAGAGACAAATTCAACTCAAGGTCTTATTTAGTCATAGTTTTGCAACAAGAAATTAAGGTTACTTTTCTCTGACAGTATTGAATTCAATAAACCCTCTGCAGTGAACAATTAAAAAACATACAGCTAATGTTCACTGCTGCTCAATTTCCAGTTTTGCACGCCTTCCGTTAAAAGTGTGAATGAGTACTTGTGCAACGTCCAACATCTCTTCTTGTTTAGCCCAGACTATTCCTTTATTCTTTTGGGGTACTCCATTTATGCCCTGTTTATCCAGGTGATCTATGCTTTCTTCACCATGATGAAACTTGGTGACAGTGTTCGGTCTCAGGGTGGGGTTGGTCTGTCAGGGGTTCTGCTAGTGGCCTTCTCTGTGGTGGCTAGCTTAGGCTTCTGTGCCTGGATTGGGCTTACATTCAATGCATCCACAACTCAGGTAAGACTTTTCCCTTGTAATTCGGAGTTCAACTCCTGTAGTCATTTCACGGCTGTTATTGCTTCAGCTAAATTTGACGGTAGTGGCAAGTGTGTTACTGTTCATTGGAAGTAATGTTCTTTTCTTTCAGCATGATTGCTTATTTCAATCACTCAAGGTTTCCATTTTTTTCAGACAACGCAATTGCGTGTCTGGAATGCATTTGTATGTCTCTCAACTATGAAGAGCTCCTCTGTGAATTATCAAAGTCTCTCTCGTAAAATCAACAGATCTTGGTCTGTTTATGCCCGCCCACTCAGAAAGACATTTTTCAGAGACCCTCAGTTGGAATACTATTTCATACAACATGCAAAAGTATTCTGCATACCTGAGTGAGTTGGAAGTCAGTTAAGGGGGAAAAAGTCACATAATGTTGCATGGTTACTTGTACCCTGCTCTAACCCCAAAAGGAATGATAATGCAATTCATGTCCTTTGTTGAATTGGGCCTCTTGATACCCTGTTTTGTTATCAAGTGACCTTGCTCTGCATTCTCAACATGTCATATTTTTCAGTTCAGGCTGGGGAAAAATGTTAGTTTTAGGTAGAAGGTAGGCCTACAGAGTGAAAGTGCTCACATTAGAAAGCATTGCTGAAGATAACAATACAGTAGAGCGGTGTGCTTCCGACTTTCACTTGACTTTCCTCATACAGTTTTGCCAAACCTCCTGTTGAAAAACCTGACATTTACTGGTACTGTATAACCTTTGTGAACAATTCAGCATCATAAGATTTCTTCCAAAATTTAAAATGGTGGTGTCCAGAAATTAGGCGAGAATTCAACTGAGTTCATTTGAAAAAGTTCATTTGGCACTTCAGAAAAAAGGAATAACCAGCCAAAATAAATTGTCATCAGAACTGTTAAGTGGGTGAGTAAAATCAAATTTTTGAATCGAAATATTGGGAGTTTGATGAAAGTTCATTTACATGTATAATGAAATTTGAGGTAATAATTTTGCTCTGGCAAGGCACTAGAGGAAAAAAAAGTCGGAGTGCGCCACGTTAGGGGCCATGTTGCATTAGGATACATCAACAAATGCTTCTGTCTGGTTGGATGAAAACTCGGATTAAAACTGTTCTCTAAAGCATAGATGATTTTTACATGCCTAGAATTTTTTTTATAAAGAAAATTATCCTTGTATTGCTTAGATTTATAGGAATATCCCACCTCTTTTCACCGCAAAAAAGTGAAAAGCCTGGGATTCTCCAGATTCAAAACGACAGTAAAATCGGTACTGTCATTACTAAGCAGGGCTGGCCTTAGGCTTAAAGGGAAGAACCCAGGCTAGTTATGTCACTCAGCTTGCCTAATGGGTCAGGGTCATGCAGGGGTTACCAGAGTGATGTTACTGGCCTAGATTTGGAGAGAGATAGTCCTTCTTGCCTTGCCCTATCCCCACCCTCTCCCAGGTTGCCTCCCCGAGGGAGGGACATGGGGTCACAAGGGTTGTCAGTAGGCCAGTTTAGCTTCCTGGGTGTTATACAGTTCCAGGTGATAGGCCCTCCCACAAGGTTTTTGATTCAGTTTCTGTTGTTCCTCTCCTCAAATCCTTTGAGTATAACCACCCCCCCAAAAAAAATCCAGAGTACAGATACTTCACAGAATGAGGTGATCTGGATATTATGAACTTCTTTGATGGTGCTGGAAAGCTTGTTACCAGTGAAGCATTACATGTAGGATTAACCTGCTATCACAGGTTGCCACCTTGTTTTGAATTTGGATTAATTTTTCTTCATTCATCAATGTTACAGTTAAGTATGATTAGTTGCACTGCATATCTGTTAATGACTCTGGGAACAATGGTTCAATCAAAGCCTAATGAATATTTGAAAAAGAAATGCTTGGTACAAAAGTTGTTTTCCTTTACATGTAAATGCCAAGGTAGTACTTTACCTGGATAAAGTCCTTTTTCCTGCACAAAAGGTGATTTTATGGCATGGGGGTAATGATTTCAAATATTCAAGGAACAGGGGTGAGATTTGCCAGGATTTTTTTCCTCAGAATTTTCTTGGTTTCAAGATTTTTTTGACAATCGCTTTTTAGGTCTGGAAAATCCTGGGTTTATCATTGAGGTGTTTTGACTTGTAAACATTGATATAGAACACAAGAAATGGATATTCTAAGGGGTACCATAGACCCTTTGCTGTTGGGGGCCCTCAAAACCTCTGGTGATTACTTTGTGGATATTTCCGTTTCTTCCAATCTCACTCCTACAGGAAGAATTGTGAGAAAACAAAATGAAATATCCTTTCTCAACTTCAAAATGATTAAATTCTCACTGTGGCCCTAACTGTGGCCCTGTGCAACTTCCTTGAAGTATGTTACATTGCTGGCCACACAACAAGCAAACGCTTTGCTGGTTGAACCTTGTATCGACTGTTCAGGGGGTTGCTTTGAAAAAGTCTTTGTACACGTAGGTTTACCATATTCCAGTGGGTCCCTTTGGACAAGCTCAGCAGGAATCTTTGAATTGATACCATTTGATTTCCTGCAAATCAGCAAAATTCAACTGTCTTTGTACTTTCTGTAAGTCTTGTATCACTTTCACGCCTGTCTATTTTATCCAGTTCATTTTTTTTATGTGTGGGTTTTTATCCTTGTAAATCTGTAATAAAGCGAATAATTGTTGGTCCATGCATTGAAGAGAAACAATAAATCCAATGATTATTGTGTGTGTTCATTTTGCATGTGCATTCTTAGCCTTCATAACAAAAAATGCAATCACCATAAAACCTGTTGTACATGGCCATCCATGGAAAAGAAACAGCAGGTCATATTGACTGTACATGTCTGCATGTCAATCACATCAACAGCTGATGAATCTGTCCCCGCTCCAGAACCCCTGTCACATAAAAAACGTTAAACCATTTTGATGACTTCCTCTCCTTGGTTGGATTGCCGTGGTAACCAAATGATCCCTTTGTACTGGGGGAGGGGGGTAAGCCTGTGTTGCAACAGCACAGAGTACCAGAGTACCATGTGCAACTCATAATCATTAAGAACGACTTGGGAGAGATAAAAAAAGAGCATGGTGGAGGTCGTGTTAAAGGAATTTGATAAGCTGGAATTTGATTTGTTTGGTTTGCCTCCTGAAAATGGATTCAATCTTTTTAAGCTTTGAGAATAAGGCAGGTTCCGATGAGGTTTCAGAAAAACTTTGAGATGTTGATTAGAGTTTTCCCATAGAGGCTCTGTCAGTGTTAGATATAGTTATGATGTAAACTGAATATATTGTAAGTTTGAATCTTCACCATTAATCTGCCACAAGCTTGCATATCAGGCAGCCTGCAAGATGAAAAGCGAAGCCGATGGACCTTTGCTTACTTTGTAGCATATGCTGCTTCTTTTCCCCTGAAATGTGAAGGAATTTGTTCAAATTGATGCAGTAAGAAAAAAACCTGTTGAATGAGTCAAAATATTCTTAAAATATGCTGCTGTGGGTGGGTGCAAGGGAGAGTTGTTGAAAACCTGGTGTCCTTGAAGATTCTTTGAGGGAGAAGACATTTTGCAAAAAGAATTTCTCCCACACATGGCTTACCCTTAGTGTAAAGTTCCCTGTTGCTGATCCAGTATAATTAAATGAGACAAGTTGGCTGAACCACTCTGAAGGTACAGGGTTTATGAACAACTTATCCATAATGGAACGGAAGTGACTAGATACTAACCTGTGAAACCTGGTCT